GATAAGTAGGATTACCATGGGTGAAGTAGTTTCACCAGTGGCAGAGAAGGTAAACATTACAGTCAAACAAGTCTTAGCTTGTGCATGATCCACCTCGTAAACGTTTTTACATCTCTTTTCTACCAATACCTTGGTGTTCTTTGGACATAACTGAAAGCTAGTTTCATCTCCATTATAGATGCGGGAGGCATCACTTAAAATATCAAACAAATCATTTTCTTTTAAATATTGTTCAATTTGACTGAACCACTGTCTTATGTTGGTTTCAGAGACATTTGCACTTGCTGCTGTAATAGCTTCGGAAGTCCTGTTTGTGATTTCTGGATGCCGTTTTAGAAACAAACGATACCAAGCTTCTCCACGTTTATTATTTATAAAACAGTTCGTTCTTGGATTTTTAATCAAAAACTGTTCGACACTTAAAAGGATGTCTTCTTTGCGTTTGGGAAATCCTTTCTTGCTACATGTAATTATCCACTCGACTAAAATATTCTCTTCGTCTTCTGTTAAGACTGTTGTTGGTCCTGGCCTAGGCCTAGGCCTAACAAATTGGGAACTAATTCTAAACTGTAGGGTAGGACGTGGCACACCGAACTTTCTCGCCGCAGTTTTCTTAGGCATTCCATTTATTACCGCTTCAATAGCTTTAACAACATCTTCTTCAGTATATTTTTCAAATAGGTACTGCCTTCAATACTTTAGGCATTTTATACTGAAAGTCAAAGTACTTTAGCCATTTTTATACTGAAAATCAAAGTAAGCAATAATTTATTGATGGTGAATTGTTCATTGGCATTAACTAAATGTACAATAATTAACACCCTACACACAAATGCAATGATTGGTACTAAATCATGTTGTAGTGATTGGCCCTTATCTAGCACAATGATTGGCAGTGCCAAAATTAATTTTTGGCACTGTCAATCAAAAAACGAAGTAACTTTACAAAAAAAAATGATTTCATATTAATCTACTTTTTCTGATTAGTTTAATAGCTTAATATTAAAGCAAAAGTACCACAAATATCATTTATTGATTGGCACAGTATCAATCATTTAAAACAATCAAATCAAAATAATTTAGTGATTGGCCCCCATATATGTTAGATTATAATAGCAAATATGTTTAAGAAAAAACTCGTAACGGTAATATAGCTCAAAAATAATTATATAAATACATCATATATACTAAACTCATTAAAAACCTTAAATAAGAAATGTTTAAGCTTACCTTGTACTTTTGATCTTATTAAAAAGTTAATGTGACTAACAGGTTTGCATTTTGCCGCTAAAAATTAATTTTTCTAAAGTTGCCAGGTACCATGTTATAAAAACTACCATTAAATTTGAATAATTTTAGAATAACAGAAATTGAAAACAATATTTAAAAATGTTATTTGTTATAGTAGATCTTAATATTTGTATTTAAAAACCAAAGTGACAATGACTATAGGGGTGCCAACAATAGTATAGCTTACCCTATATTAAATTAGTCTATTTTACGCACCTTCTTGAGATTCAATAAATTTTTGTTTCCTTATTCGATAAAATAATTTTACTTAAAGAGTTCATTGTATAGTAAAAATCATTTTATCGAACAAAATTGATTGAATTCAGTAGACGTCGCTATTGCAGACCAATTTTAATTCAAAGAAAATATTCTTTTGATTTAATACACTAAAATTTTGACTCTACATGTCTAAAAATAAAGATAGTAACAACAAAATTTAAACTTTTATGTTATATTTTATGCCACACTTGTGGTTGAAAATTATGAAATTAAATAAATCATTTGCTGTAAAAGGTTTTTGAAGTTGTACTTCTTTTGGAGCGTTTGAAAAAAACGATGACAGTGAATTTCTTACGATGCGCGCGCACACCGACACCTAAAAACGACACCTTGAAGTTGTTACGTTGCGCGCGCACACCGAAACCTAAAAGCGACAACTTCAGTTGGTAATTGTCTGTCCTCTCGGTAGAGAGTAACTGTGTTTTGTGCTGTCAACTGTCAAGTTTTCGTAAGAACGTGTCACCCCGTCTATTAGTTGTAATCCAAGTGCGCGAACGGCGACAAAATAGTTGCCGGCCTGTCACTGTCAGTTCTCGCCCCGCCCTTGTGGACCGAGCGCGTCTCTTCACCGAACGTCTTCATCCGCGTACGCAGCAAATCGAATACCATCTCTGTAACGCACGTAGTTATGTAGAACGCAAGCAGCCTTAATTATAATATCACAAAAATTTTAACGTCGAGAGGGTACGACTTTCCAATTACGTCAGTGGAGTTTGGTGTTGATACGTATTTTTACAGAAAGACTACACTATTATAAGCACACACACAAAGTCTCAATATACGGAAACGTGTAAATTTTGAGAAAAGAATAATTGAAAATCAATTATTCTTGCAATGTTTATGTCTAATCTGCTAATAAACTGGCGCCATTTTGTAATGTCATTGTCGACGTCAATAGGGATGTCGATTCTTTCCGAAAAAGATAGATTTTTTAAATAGATTCGAATTGTAAACTGTTGTATCGATTCCCAAAAAATCGATTTCTAAAATATCCATATTTTTTTCATGTTTGCATTTATAATGTAAATATAAATCCATTTTATTAGCAGATTAGACATAAACATCGCAAGAATAATTGATTTTCAATTATTCTTTTCTCAAAAATTACGCGTTTCCGTATATTGAGACGTTGTGTGTGTGCTTATAATAGTGTAATCTTTCTGTAAAAATACGTATCAACACCAAACTCCACTGACGTCAATGGAAAGCTAAGCCGTCGAGAGGCCTTTGAAGAATTCTCCACTTGTTGGCGAGTATTACAAATGTGCATTCGACCATACGTCGTGCTCAAGTGTGCCGATAGTTGTAAACCTTCTTTATAATCGTCAGCGACTTTCGTGAAAAGGGTCGTAATATATTTCTAAACAATCCAAATGCTTCGTCTGCCACTAGACAAAATGGCATGGATTTACCGTTTTAATCCTTTGGCAAAGTTTTATTATCTGATACGGTTAATTGATTTTGCTTTAAGCGTATCCCCATGTTTGATTTTTGAAATATACTGGCATCTCCAGCTGCTCATTTTGCACCCACGTTAATGTACAAAAATTTATAATCTCCATTAACCCAGGCCATGTCAACGATAGAGAAATACTTTTTGTGATTGAAGCATTCTGAGACACTTCCAGCCGGCTGAATCATTCGAATGTTGTCGAATGTAGCCCCAATAATATTTGGAAAATCTGTTCGTTGATGAAATTGACTTGTAATGTTCAGCCAGTCCCCTTCACTCTACTGTGGCATGTAAAGAGGCTGCACAAGTATCCAAATTGGCGGATTTTACTATTTATCTTACTACTGAAGTACCACTCAAAAGGTAATCCAATGATAGAGAATAAAAGCTTGCACCAGTCGCAAGATATATGTAAATAAAGGAAAGCATGGCTTGAATAAGTTTGAGTCAAGGATTCTTTAAATGCGGTCTTATTTTTAAAACTTGTCTTACATGGTGACTGAAAACAATCCACAATTTTTTTTTGCCAATTCGAAATTGGTCCGATAGTAAAAGTTTATTGATGGGTAGAATAGATTAGATATTATATTAGATAGATTATGGGTAAATTTCGTCGATTGTTTTAAGTTTCTCTGTATAATCTAACAACAAATTCATACACACGTTTAGTTATCTTTTTCAGGTACATTAGTTCGAAGACGATGGAAAAATATTCGGACATGTTTTTTGGGTAAATACGGGAACAGAAGTGATATAAGTCTGGTGAGGCGGCGAAAAAAAAATCGCCGAAAGTACACATTTTTCGACAGTCTGCTGTTTCTCGTACCTTCAATGGAAACACGTCAAATACCGGGAAATATAGCTGCCACCCGCTATGACGAGAGTAAAGAAGAAAAAACCCGAAAAGGCCGAAAAAGGAAAAACTTACTGTAGAAAATACAAAATATTATGAAGAAAACCTTTTGAACATAGTACACGATAAAAAATATAACACTCGGACACTGAATAATAAGAAACACATTTTGCCCTTTCAGCCAGTTAGACGTTCAAGATTACAGTACGATTCGTTCGTTCAAGATTAGATACGTAAACATTTTGCAGGCTTTCAAGAGAGCACAACAGTGGAATAAGACAATTACAAACTTCAGCAAAATATCTGGTGTCAATTACAAAATAATCCGTCAGAAACCAAGATAAGCGACGCACGATACACAATCATCCAGCCAACCAAAATGTTTGTCTACCTACAACTACCCAAATTTGTCATCTGCGTCATTGCCAGCTCCTAGTCCACTTAATATTATGTGTCCAAGCAGTAATGAAAGTATGCCACTGCACTCATACTTTTCAAATTTCACAAGTGATACTGATGAATCAGTGACGACAAATGTATGAAGTATGTTACGACAAGTAATAAGTACTTATTTTTTGTTACCTTTCGTACCAGAGCAAACAATTATTAAAAAAATATATTTATAAACTGTTGTCTTATTGCTAGTAATACGAATAACCGTAAACATACCTGAGTGTGATATTCAGTCTTTCCTCTGGTGAGACAGCTAATCGCATATTTGTATCTTCACGAGCGATGCCAGGTCGTAAAATTCTGCTCAATTCATCAATTTTCTATTAATTGTATGAAATTTTCCTGTCATTCTGTCACTCCATAATGGCTGCACACAATATTGCCTTTTTCGTTGTCGTTTTCGATTTCTTAGAATAAGTGCACAGACCACAGCCGTCTGCGAAATCCATGTTGATGAATGCGGCAAAATTTTACGAAAAAGTAGCGTTGCTATAGCTCCCGTGTCGCATCGTCCAAATTTCGGCGAAGAGACAGCGACAGAGACAAAAAAGTTGTCGGGCAACTAAGTTGCTCGTTGGCGCTCTTTCTTAGTCCCTGAGCGACTACGGCCAAAATTCGTATCAATTTATTGAAATTAATTTAGCTTTTATCCTTTTCAGAAAATTAAACAAAATGGGTCGTAAAGTGGTGGTAGCCGTCTGTACTTTGAACCAGTGGGCGTTAGACTTCGAGGGCAATTTGAGCAGAATATTACAGTCCGTGCAGGAGGCGAAAGAGATGGGAGCTTTGTATAGAACTGGTCCTGAATTAGAAATATGGTAATTTTCAAATGTTGTAAAAGACATCGACCACTAATACAGTTTCGAAAAGATCGATGGTAAAAGAACATATTTTCCAAAAATAACATAATCATCATCACCATCATTGCAGCCTGACAAAGTACATTTCTGAACATAGGTCTCCCTATTGCTTCTTAGGGGATATTTGCCATAGGTTGACGCTTGGCAGACGAGTTGGCAATCGACAATTTGCACCGGCCAAGTTTTCCTTCTGTCGCCTCTTACGACACCAATGGGATGATATGAGGCGGTGGATTTTCTTTCGTCTAAAATATGCCATAATTTGGAGCGAGATGTTAACCAAAGAACTGACTCGACCATTGCCATAAAATGTAACCTGTGTGTCGGAGATGAAAACGTGAAAACTAAACACGCTTTGTGCTTCAAACTCCGTAAAGCCGTTTTGACTAGAGGAATCACTGGGTCACAAAGAAATGGACAAATATATACATATTCCCACACAAGACTGTCTTGGGGTGGCGACGTAAGAGAGTCAATTGCTTCATTACGGTGACTATAGGATGTGCCAAGAAGATCTTATGACTTCCAAAAGATGGCGGTATAATCATCTTGTTTACGCCATAGGTAAAAACCTAACCCGGCGATACAAAGCAGCGTCAAAGGTGCGAAACGTCTGGTACTGCGGTATTCTGGATGTCTGTTTGTCTCTGTCGTGTCTTACGATATCCACGGGATGATATTATGGAGTAACGGATTCTCTTACTCTGTCTCTAGACGGCTTAATATATGTAAATAAATCTAAATCTTCTTTATGTACCGTGTAGTGACGGTGCTAGAATATCCACTACCCCATATCATGCCGTGGGCGTCGTAAGAGACGACAGAGGGAAACAAATCAGGAGAGAGGCAACTGCGTCTTGATAATTACGACTAAAACAAAAAAAAACTACGGTTGTCAAACCGCTTAGCAAGCGTGGCAAATAGATTACCCTATGAGGTAATTTATGGGGAGGCCTATATTCAGCAGTGGACTTTGGTAGGCTGTAACAGTAACGGTAAAGCCTCCTTACACTGAAGAGACCTATTTTTTACGTGGTAGAGCCATGCTGCAGCTATATCAATAGTATAGTTGTAGCACGAATGGGTCGGCTCGACCGGGGTAGAACCACTCACAGAATACCAGCGTAAAATAGTAGCTTAATGCTTGCTGTGTTTCGTATGGTGAGTGTAGAGAACCGGTGATCTATTTTACTGGAAAAGGCATTCTATCTTAGTCCTCATACGTATATAGATGTCTATGGGCCACAGCAACCACTTACCATCAGGTGGACTGTGTGCTCGTTTGTCACCCTTATTCTATAAAAAAGAAAAATGTCCTGATTTTCTGTTAATGGCTGATGATGATGATTAAGTCAGTACCTTGAATAATTCTAATCGTCACGTTATTGTCTAGTGGTTACAGTTGCGAAGACCATTTCCACGAGTCGGACACGTTTTTGCACAGCTGGCAGGTCCTGGCTGAGCTGCTGAAGTCTTCTACATGCAAAGACATTCTCATTGACGTCGGCATGCCCGTCCAACATAGAAATGTGTCCTACAACTGTCGTGTCGCATTTTTCAACAAGAAGATTCTTTTGATCAGGCCAAAGATGATGTTATGCGAAGATGGAAATTATAGGGAGACTCGTTGGTTCTCTTGTTGGACTAAAGTAAGATTTTTATTTTTTCCGCAAATCCTTTTCCTTTACCGCCGAACCGCTTAGCACGTGTTCGGCGGTAAAGGAAAACATAGTGAAGAAACCTGCATGTCGAGAAAAAAAATTAAAAAAATTTTCGAAGACATGTGAAGTTCGTCAACACGCATTGGGGCAGCGCGGCGGACTAACTGATCCATATAAATGAGAGGATGCCTGTGTCCAGTAGTGGACCGTTAAAAGACCGTAATTTTACTTTTATTTTTTAAATATTCAATACGTTCATGATTTTTTTTTAAATTTATTATACAAATGTTAGAAGAAAATGAAATAATATCCACTATCACTTTGTTAGTGCCAGGAGTCCGTCTTGGTTGCAACCATCCCCTTACCTCATTTTGTTATCAAGCAGAAGAATACCTACTGCTGTGTTCCAGTTAAAGTATAATAGAATCAGTATAGTCAGTCTGGGAGGGATTTTACTTTATTAGGCTTCTTGGTCCTAAGTTTGTTGCAGAGATAGAGCTCTTGGTAAGTGAATGCTGTGATCCATAGACATCTACATTTATCCTCGAATAAGAATCAAAATGCAGATGCGTTGTTACCCCTGAGGACTAAGATGGAATGACTCGTTTCCAGTAAAACGGGTCTCTGGTTCTCTACACTCACCATACGAAACACAACAGCAATAAGATGCTAGTTTATGCTGGTATTCTGTGAGAGCATGGTTCATTCGTATTACAACTATAATACAGCTGCACCGTGGGTTTACCACGTGAAGATACTCCAATATTACAAAAATCAACTTTTTTTAGGAACGTCAAGTGGAAGACTATTACTTGCCCCGAATGATAACAGCCATCACTAACCAAACGACTGTGCCCATTGGAGATGCGGTGATAGCGACAAAGGACACGTGTATTGGGTTTGAAATTTGCGAAGAGTTGTGGAATCCGCAAAGGTTTTATTATTTAATATTTATAAATTATATTTAAAAATATACTCTTATTTAGGAGTTTTCGCAATGCTTGACCACGGTGGATTGCTGCTCCTTTATCTTTGTTTATGTATTGATTGTCTATGAATTTTTAGTGGAAAACGATAAAACAAGTACTCCGATTGTGATCCTAAACCTCAACTTACATTGTTTGCTTAGGCGTCTTCAAATATTATAGTTACAATTATCGTTATAATCCCCCAAAAACGTCGCAGAGACTCATCGACATATTTTGAAGAAGTTAAACAGTAGGTACTTCTTACTGGCAAAAGTGCACCCGTACGAGGACATAACCAAATGAAAAAATATTTATTTCAACTATATCCAAAGAGTATATTATAATCACTACGTTTTGACTATACCTTTTAAGATCCATAAAATCCGCTTAAAATGAACATATCGTTGACGTTAAGCACCGATGCTCCGGAAAGCACGTTAAGGATCGTTCATATCAGATTTCATAGAAAACAAAACCTTGCAAAAACATCAATTCCTACCAAAGATGATTCACGAGGCTATTGAAATAAAAAAAACCATCCTTATTACAATAGAGAAGATGGTCCGATAATTAATAAAAATAAATCCAAACTCAAGCATTCAAGATACTGTAAGCTCGTTCTGCGTAGATCGAACCAAAAATTAATAATTAAAAGTTGACGGTAGCCTTTGTTAACGTCAGGCTATGACTTCAGGACGTCAAATACCTCAATCCCCCCCTCCCCCACTCCCCGTGCCAAAGGGTCATTTGAAGTGCCCGAAACGTCAATTATAATAGTTCTAATTAAACGGATAAAAATCTGTAAAATTAGTTTAATTTTATATCACTATTTTTAAATCATGTCTCGTTATTGGATAAGTTGTATATTCTGTTGTTGCTGTTTATATATTCTCTCTCTGGATACATTCTATTTACTACTTAATACTTACGGAAATATGATTTAAGAATAATATTAATTTCATACACGTAAATTTCTTTGGATTATAATTAAGTTATTATTAAATTTGTACTCTAAACTACGAATCGATTAAAATATTTGAAAATTTACAGTCGCCATATACCCTTAAGCCTCGACGGTGTGGAAATAATATCAAATGGTTCAGGCAGTTATATGGAACTGAGGAAGGCGTACGTCACTGTGGACTTGGTGAAGAGTGCTACGTTTAAAAGCGGTGGAGCTTACATGTTCAGTAATTTAAGGGGATGCGACGGGCAGCGTATTTACTTCAACGGTTGTTCGTGTGTCGCCGTTAATGGTGAAATTGTCAGTCGTGGCCTTCAGTTTGCTTTGCACGATGTGGTAAGGGTTCTAAACTATTCTATACTCGTATACGTCGTCATAGCATTTCTTATAATGAAATAAACTGCATGTCCATGTAGTGGCGGTGTAAGAATATCCACTACCGCATATCATACTGTGGGTGTTCTAAGAGGCGACAGAGGGAAACAAACTCCCTCCATTGCATAAGAATTGATAGACCACAAGTTCTCGCAAAAGAACACCGATTCGAAGTATGATTCACGAGGCTATTGATATTAAAACATCCTAATATCAATAGAGAAGGTGGCTGGGTAGTACCATTTATATTCAGCAGTGGACTTTTATAGGTTTTAATGTATAGAATGCATTTAGAATTAGCTCTAGTCTAGCCAGTATGAAAAACCCAAAACTGTGAAACTGCAACTTAGTGAAAAAATATACTAACTAACAAGAACATTTGTCCAATGTTGGGCTACCACTCTTCGTTACAGTAGAAACTATTCGTCATATTTCCCGTTTGGCGACTTAGTAGCACGTTGTAGCACGAATAGTTCGGCTCGTCCGGGGAAGGGCCACACTCTCACAGAATACCAGCGTAAAATAGCAGCTTAAAGCTGCTGTGTTTCGTATGGTGAGTGTGAAGAATCGCAGACCCTTTTACTCAAAACGAGGCATTCCATCTTAGTACTCAGGGGTGACAACGCATCTGCATTTTGATCCTTAATTGAGGATAACTGTGGATGTCTATAGGTATCAGCATCCACTTACCATCAGGTGGATTGTGTGCTCGTTTGTAATCCTTATTCTAAAAAAAATATCATGGTTATATATGGCCCAGGTATGTTAGGACCATTGTTTTTATATGTACGCATACTTGTGGCTTGTGGCATTATAATTTCTCCTGCTCTGATGAAATCGGCTACGAGGATATCATCATCACGTTTTTCAGGAGGTAATAACGGCGACAATCGACCTAGAGGATATCCGTTCGTACCGTACGCAGTTACGTTCGCGGTCACACATAGCTGCCTCCAACACACCGTTCCCGCGTGTTAACGTCGACTTCTCTTTGTCTGATGATGAAGATATTCATTTAACAATCAGCCCGCCTATAGAATGGAAATATCTGACGCCTGAAGAAGAGATTGAGTTGGGTAAAATACCTTTGTATTTTAAAAGAAAAATAAAACTGCATAGTACAAGCTTATGCTTTCTAAGTTAACGAATAAAAGTGCTGTCTGATATTATTATGCCATATATGACACTTAATTTATAACATGCGCTCGGAATAATTCCACAGTATTTATCATAGATGGCGGTCATGTGAGTAAAAATTATATTTTCACTTAATCTTAAAAAAGGGGGTCATTCATACGTATATAGTCTTCATCTACTAACACCTGCAACATTACACACCACAATTTTTAAAAATTATTAAAGCTATCATAAGTAGGTATGTCCACGTTTCGGATGGATGTTGAGATCGCGTTTGAGAGTATTTGGAGTTGTGTATCGCTTGCAACGCAAAGTCGGGAATTTGCATTTGGAAAAATCCAAAATTAGGGGCTTTTTAGGTGCTAATTAGGTGCCAAGTTTAAAAATTAGGTGCTCTAAAATTTTCAACGCAACGAACTGTTGAAATTTGCGTTGCTAGTAAAACGTCTCGCTAACAACGCAATGAAGTTATTAGATATACGATAAATATTAATAGCAAGGAATTAAGTGCTAATTAGGTGCTGCAAGTATACGAAATAACAAGGCGCCCCTAATAAAAATAAAGTCGTAATTCAGAACATAGCAGATGCAAAATTCAGATTTCCTGAAAATCAAAATAGAATCAAAATTGCTTTCAGAAAAGTCTAAATTAGGGGCTTTTTAGGTGCTAATTAAGTACCAAGTTTAGAAATTAGGTGCTCTAAAATTTTCACCGCAATGAACTGTTGAAATTTGCATTGCTGGCAAAACGTATCGCTGGCAACGCAATAAAGTTATTAGATATACGATAAATATTAATAGCAAGGAATTAAGTGCTAATTAGGTGCTGCAAGTATACGCAATGACAAAGCACCTTTAATAAAAATAAAGTCATTATTCAGAAAATAAATTCAGGTTTTCTGAAAATCACAAAGAATCAAAAATGCTTTCAGGAAAAGCCCAAATTAGGGGCTTTTTAGGTGCTAATTAAGTACCAATTTTAGAAATTAGGTGCTCTAAAATTTTCACCGCAACGATCGATTGAAATTTGCGTTGCGGGTAAAACGTATCGCTAGTAACGCAATGACGTTACTAGATACGATAAATATTAATAGCAAGGAATTAAGTGCTAATTAAGTGCAATTAATTACAAAAGTGCAAATAATATTATTTTATATAATTTTCAACCAAATAAATGTTACAATTCATATTTTTAGACATGTGAAGCGTTGTACTAAATCGAAAAGCGTAAACTTTAGTGTAGATTTCTTTCCAGTAATTTGCTTTGTAATAATACGTTCGTACAGTAGGTGGCGTCTTGCATATTTCTTACGCGACATATTGTAGCGACAGTCCGCGGACCGAATGCTCAAGGTCGTTCGCTAGGAGTAGCCCCTTAAGTAATAACTTGTAAGTTAGAAAATAAAAGTAATATAGGAAAAGTCTCCGTCTCCTTCCACTTCAGCCCTCCCTAAGCTGCCGCAGACGTAAATAGCCGTACACGATCTTAAATTAGAGGAATTATGTTTACTTACCGAGAGGCTCGTACTCACAATCACTAGCCTAGCTTAATTTTTAAATATTGTGGTGTGTAATATTGTAGGTGTTACTAAGAGTCTGTGATAGTGTATAGTCAAAAAACACTAGCGATTAGCTATTATTACTAAAATCATAATTTCTTTTTCTTTAAAATTTCACTTAGAAATTGTTTACAAGTCTTTCTCTTTCCCCTTTAAAAAGTTCAGAAATGTATAAAATACATTAGAAGAGATAAAGCTGTTTTTCATCACCACTGAATTATGGGATCATTATTTTTGACTGCAGAACTTCGTTTGTTAATTAGCCGTGCGGTTTTTGTCATCAGATTGAAGTTGTTTCAGCTTGTCTAATTTTGGTTAAATTTAATAGGTCCAGCATGTTGGCTGTGGGATTACCTTCGAAGGTCAGGTCAAGGCGGGTTCTTTTTACCGCTGAGCGGCGGTGTCGATTCAACAAGCACTGCTTGTATTGTTTTCTCCATGTGTACGCAAATTTGTGACGCAGTGCAAAAAGGCGGTAAGTTTGTAAGTTACATCTTTAGTCGATTTATTATATGTGAGTGGTCGCATATTGTTCGAAATTAGACGGTAATTTTTAATTTTTGATAACAAGCAAACTGTATTTCAACTTTCAACTGCATATTAAAATGCAGATAAAATTAACATTTGAAATCGCATAAAATTAAGTAGTAATTATTTGTTGTAAAGATTTAGTTCTTTGGCGACTATCTCTAATAGAAGAAGTAAAATCTTTCCTACAACGTGAGAGGCCTATGTACGGCAGTGTACTGTTGACGTCGAGATTTAATGATGCTGATTGTTGATTTCTGTTTCCAGAAAGTCAGGTGTTGTATGATGTTCGAAAAATACTATGTCAGTCGGATTATATGCCATCGGACCCAATGGAACTGTGCAACAGACTACTGGTCACGTGTTACATGGCCTCCGAGAATTCTAGTCAAGAAACTAGGCAGCGAGCTCTGCAGGTATAAACTTATAATTTTATTTACAATAGTTATTTACTAAATCCGTGGTAGCTCAGGGGCTAAGCGCTCGCTGTACATTTCACAGTATGTGAGCAACCCGGGTTCGTCGCATACCCGTCGGCACCAATGCAATTGTTAATTGCAGTTTTAATTGATGATTCATCACGTGCGCGGCGGTAAAGGAAAACGTCGTGAGAAAATTATGTGTGAGGAATAAGAAAAAAAATATTTCGAAGACGTGAAGTTTGCTAACAGGCAGCGCGTCGAGTATTTCCTTGCCTTAAAACCCTCACAGCAATGAGATGAGGCCTGTGCCCGGCAGTGGGACATGTGTAGACATAATGTAGGCTGTAACTTTAACTTTAGAATTTTTACTTCCTTTAAAAAAGAAATAAAAAAAAACTTTTACTTACTAAATCGATCATCGACATCAAAAAGGAGGAAGGTCTTTGTTCGACTGTATTTTTCGCACATCAGCATATATCCACACATCAAATCAATTATTAAGGGGTTTTTTTATTGAATAGGCGCACAGCCAATTTTTACTATTCAAGATGGTCCGGTTTAAATTGGAACAAAAAGTTCCTCTCCTAAAGGTAAAAAAATTATCGAATGAAATTTTTAATTAAACTATTTAGACGGCATTCGATTCGTCTAGAAGATCAAATAATATAACCTAAAAAACGTATTTAAATAAAAGTTTTGTTCTGTTATGTTTCGATGGATTCTATCGCGTATATTAACTTATTTTATATTAAGTGTGCAGGATTAAGTTCAACACGATGAACCAGTGCCGGTTAACTAACTTCATTCATATTCCTATTTCCTCACGATATTTTCCTTCATCGCCTAGTACGCAGTATGTCAGCGCTTCATCATTCATCATCATTACAGCCCTTCATAAGTCCACTGCTGAACATAGGCCTCCCCCAAGGAATGCCACAAAGCACGGTCCTGAGCCACCTGCATCCACCGACTTCCTGCATATCTTACCAGGTCGTCACTCCATCTAGTGGGGGGACGCCCAACACTTCGCCTGCCGGTACGAGGCTGCCACTCGAGAACCTTTTTTTCCCATCGGTTGTCGGTTCTTCGAGCTATATGGCCGGCCCATTGCCACTTCATCTTACTAATCCGTTGGGTTATGTCGGTCACTCTGGTTCTACTGCGGATATCCTCATTTCTGAGTTTATCACGCAGAGAAACTCCGAGCATAGCCCTCTCCATAGCTCGCTGAGCGACCTTGAGCTTCCTCATCCGGCCAGCAGTGAAGGACCACGTCTAAGTTCCATATGTCATCACTGGCAACACGCACTGGTTGTACAGTCTCGTTTTCAAGTTTTGAGGTATACCTGACGAGAAGATGTGCCGTAATTTCCCGAACGCTGCCCAACCGAGTTGAATCCGTCGATTGACCTCTCGGTCGAAGTTGTACTTACCTAGTCGGACTATTTGTCCCAGGTAAACATACTCGTCAACAACTTCGAGCTTAGTGCTCCTAACAACTACCGGCATAGGTGTGACATGGACATTAAACATGATCTTTGTTTTGTCCATGTTCATCTTAAGACCTATCCGTTGGGAAGCACTATTGAGGTCATTGAGTATAGTGCTTAGGTCCTCCAGCGATTCTGCCATAAGGACTATATCGTCGGCAAATCGAAGGTGAGTGATGTACTCACCATTGATGTTGATACCGTATCCTTTTCAGTCCAGAAGCTTGAAAACGTCTTCCAATGCAGCGGTGAAGAGTTTCGTGGATATGAAGTCACCCTGTCTTACACCGCTCTGCAATTGGATAGGTTTCGTACTCTGGTTCTGTACTCGGATAGCCATCGTAGCCCTACTGTACAAGCACTTCAGCACTTCGATATACCGACAGTCAACTTGGCACCGCTGAAGGGACTGCAGCACTGCCCAAATTTCGACGGATTCAAAGGCTTTCTCATAGTCCACATACGCCAGACATAGTGGCAAATTGTACTCCTCTGACTTCTGTACAATTTGCCGAAGGGTATGTATGTGGTCGTCAAGACTGCGCGGGAGACGATTCGTAATGACTCTCGAAAACAGCACGTAGACGCGTCTCAGAAGGGAAATCGGTCTGTAGTTCTTCAAGAGAGCGTTGTCACCTTTCTTGAAGAACAAGACCACCGCACTTCTGCTCCACGCCTCCGGTGTAATGCCACCATGGAGGACGGAATTAAAGAGCTTCTGAAGGACTTCAAGTACCGGTTTTCCACCCGCTTTCAGAAGCTCCGCTGTAATTCCATGCTCGCCTGGGACCTTGCCGTTTTTAAGGTGCTGGAGAGCCATTCTAATCTCGCTCAGACTGACGTCCGGGATATCATCGGAATAATGTCGGATAAGACTCGCTCTTGGATCGTTACTCACACTTGCGTGTGGCTCCAACGATGACGTGTACAGCTGCCCATAGAACCTCTCAATCTCACTCAAAATTTCAGGTGCCCCGGAAACGATGCTGCCACATTCTGTTTTCAGCTTTGAAAGTTGGCTCTTTCTGGCAGACATATCTCTGGCAAAGACTTTGGAGCCTTGATACCGCTCGATCGCTTCTTCAATACGAGCTGTATTGAAGTTGCGTAAGTCCCGCCTCATGCATTTGGAGATCAGTCTGTTCAGTTGCCTGTATGCTGTCAAATCTGTTGAAGAATGTAGCTTTATCTCCCGTCTAACAACCATGAGATTAAGAGTGTGATCGGAGAGTTTTTGTGTTCTTCTGCGGCGGGTCTTGCAGAATTTAGCTCCGACCGCATGGACAAATTCAACGAGCTTGTCATTCATATCGTCCACTTCATTACAGTCTTCTAGGCACTGAAAACGGTTTTGTAACTCGAGCTGAAATGTTTCGGGACTTTGGTTAGAGCACGAGGGGGACGGAGCGTTGACTTCATTAGACGAGACCTCTCCAACTTAACGTTTAGGTTCAGCGTGCCTCTAACCATTCGGTGATCGCTGCCGGTTTTCACCCTCGCGATCACTGAGACATCACTGAACAGTTGTCGTCTGGTCGTCATAATGAAGTCAATCTTATTTTTTGTCGAACCGTCGGGGCTCGACCAGGTCCACTTCCTGTGGGGCCGCTTCTGGAAGAAAGAGTTCATCATAAAGAGTTTCTCTTTCTCCATGAAGTCGGCCAGCTGCTGGCCCCTTGGGTTCCCTTGCCCTATTCCAAATTTCCCTACTTTCAGCTCACCATTCTCTCTTGTGCCAAGTTTTGCATTGAAGTCTCCCATTAACACCGTATATTGGGTTTTGGAGGAATGCATGGCTCTAGAGATATCCTCATACATTTCCTCCACCTCCTCTTCGGGGTGTGCCGAGGTTGGTGCGTAAACCTATATGACCTTCAGCGAATACCGTTTGGTGATTCTGAGCATAAGGTACGCAACCCTCGTCGATACACTCTCAATCTTTACAACGTTGTTAACGAGAGACTTGTGGACGATAAATCCGACACCTCCTTGGGACAGATGGTCGCCCTCCCGGTAATAGAACAAGTTGCCGGATTCGAGGATTACCGTTTCCTCCCCCTCTCTTCGGCGGATAATCCTATAATATGCCAGCGTAACTTGTCTATCTCTTCTTCCAGCTCCACAATTTTCTCGTCAGTCCTCAGGGTGCGTGCGTTGTATGTTGCCAGGTCGAGTCGTCGTAGGTGGCAACCGAACCTCCACCGGAGATTCTTAGCACCCCCTGCCCCGCCGTCACAATGGTCGCCACCGTAGCCAGGAATAGCGGTGCCGCCGGGGACTGGGGGCCATTTCTTAGTTACATTCATTCATAGGGGGTATTTGCCATAATTGCCACGTTTGGCGAGCGGGTTGGCAACCGCAGTTTTTTTTATTGTATTTTTGCTGTTATCAGGAAGATGCTGCTGCCCATCTCCTGCCTGTTTCCCTTTGTCGCCTTTTACGACACCCACGGGAAGATATGGGGTAGTGGATATTCTTAACCGCCACTACACGGCAACGCTTAAACTCAGCGCTTAAAACTGCGATCATTCATTCCAGAGGTGACTGCGGAAACCAAGCTTCGGTAATTAAAAAAACTCTATTAATAATTAAATATATTGCTTAATTTAAATTAAATTTCACTTTTCAGCTTGCCAGTGAAATAGGTAGCTATCATTTCCCAATAGTGATCGATGCGGCGGTGAGTGCCGTAATCGGTATTTTCACTTCTGCGACTGGTCTTGTACCAAAGTTTAGAGCAAAAGGTGGTTGTCCTCGACAAAATCTTGCCTTGCAGAATATCCAGGTAAATTCCGCATTTGACTACTTTTTAACGACTTTAAAATAAAAGCTTTTAGAAAAATTTACTTCGCAAATATCCGCGTTATAAAATAAAATGATGTGTCTTACCTAGTATGAAGAGCACCTCCCGCCCTCGCTCATTTGCGTGCACTATCACCGTCACCACTAATCCCAGCACCGCTACTCCCATAGTATATATAGTTTGACCGCTATTTGTGTGTGTTTGACTGTGGCACCGTAGCTCTTAAACGGGTGAACCGATTTGAGTGCGGTTTTTATTTGTTTAAAAGCAGGTTTTCTAGATGGTTTTTCTAGATCGGTGGTTCTTAGACATGTTTTATTAAAATCGGTTCAGCCGTTTCAACGTCATCAGCTGTTTTGTTAGCTGCGGTAGGGCTCTTTTCGGAGTTTTTAAAATTTTAAATCACAGTTTTAATTAAATTAATAAAGCGATATATAATACGTTATAGTTCAATTACTCGTAGTTACGCAAGTGGATGATGCCCATGTCCAGCCGTGGATTTTTACGAACTGAATGTGAAGAAGACGAATCTATTATTTATTTATTTTAATGGACATCTTACTGTAGTTGCAATCAAAGAGCATATAATAACTACGTTTTACTTGCAATGTATATGATTTGTTGCTTTCTATCTTTACATTACATGTTACGTTTATTGAACTACAAAATTTAATAAAAGATTCAAAAAAGGGCCAATATTATAATATTAACTTTTTTATAATATTTTATTTTTATGCGTGTTAAAGCCACGTTGCAGCTATATTATGGTTGTAGCATGAATGGGTCTGCTCGACCGGGGAAGGACCACGTTCTCAAAGAATATACCGGCGTAAATTAGCAGCTTCAAGCTGCTGTGTTTGGTTTGGTGTGTAGAGAACCGGAGACACTTTAGGGTCCCGTACCCAAAGGGTAACCAACGGTACCCTGTTACTAAGACTCCGTTGTCCGTCCGTCTCATGATCCGTAACAGGTAGACAGTTGAAATTTTCACAGAATGTGTATTTCTGTTGCCGATATAACAACAAATAATAAAAATTAAAATAAATTTAAAAATTAAAATGGCTTCCCTACTAGAAACGTGTATTACGATGGTACGTAGACGTTCTTGCGCGAGTCCGACTCGTATTTGGCCGGTTATTATTGGGATGACAACGCATCTGCATGCTTATTTGAAGATACATACAGATATTTATGGGCCACAGCATCCACTTGTCAGGTGGACTGTGTGCTTGTTTGTCAACCTTAATCAATATATATATATATATTTTTATTATCTCTTATTTTCCCAGGCTCGTTTACGTATGGTGCTTTCATATTTGTTCGCACAACTAATGTTGTGGGTGCGGGGAAGGCCGGGTGGCCTACTCGTGTTGGGTTCTTCTAATGTGGACGAAGCTCTGAGAGGTTATATGACTAAGTACGATTGCTCCAGTGCCGATGTCAATCCGATTGGTGGCATATCGAAGACTGATCTAAAATCTTTCCTGCAATATGCTAAGAATAGGTGAGTATAATATTCAATGTCTCGTATTCGCGTATATATAATAAATATATATATAAACATTTTATGAGGATGTTTTTAATTATTTTTAAGGTTTTTCTTGCCATCTCTATCGGAAATACTTCAAGCCCCACCCACCGCAGAGTTGGAACCGCTCACCGACGGTCAGATAACACAAACCGACGAACAAGACATGGGAATGACCTACGCGGAACTCTCCGAATTCGGTCGTTTACGGAAAACCAATCACTGCGGCCCGTTTAGTATGTTCCAGAAATTAGTGCACAAATGGAGCAACAAGTGTACACCTCAAGAGGTACAACTTAAAACAAAAATAATTTTAAACTTTATTTTGTTTTTTTAGTGCTTGTATTATTTTTTTTAAATACTAGTAATGCTATTAAACATTACTAATATTCCCTTTGTGGTTAAAGGAAGCTTAAAAATGCTTGTGTTAGAAAGTGGTTCACGACAGTAGTCGAATGGTGGATTCGAACCCACGACCTTTCGAGTTCGCGGTCCGCGCCCTGCCATTAGGCTACTGACGCTTATGTAGTATATAATTATGTTATATATTATTTTGTTGTTTGTGTTATTGGCCGTTTTTCATTTGCAGAATAGCCTTTTAATATCTCCTAATCTTTTTAACCCCCGCCCCGGCGAAAACAGAGGGGTGTTATATGTTTGTATCGTATATCTGTGTATCTGTGTGTCTGTCTGTGGCATCATAGCTCCTGAACGGATAAAACGATTTTGATTAAGTTGTTTTTCGTTTGATAGGTGTCTTAATCGAGAGTGTTCTAAGCTATGTTTCAAGGAAATCTGTTCGGCCGTTTGAAGATCATTAGCTCCTTTGTTTCGGGGTTTTTAAATTTTTATTTAAGTTATAATATATCTAATAACCTTTTTTCATGGATACAGTAAATAACGGATTTATTGAAACATTTATCACTATACTCCATCTATTATAGCATTAGAAAAAAAGAGGCTAGTGGAAGCAGAGTTTGAAAACATTTTTATTCATAGTTAAAATCTAATAAATTTAATGGTTTAAAAATGGTATTATTAAATAATTTTAATATAACTTGGATAAGTTTATTATTGTTATAACATGTGACTGTTCCTAAATAATCATCGGCTGATAAAAATTTTGTTTTTACTAATTACAGTGTAAACTCTTTATGTTATAACGTTATCGGAATTGAGTGAATTAAAATGTTTGGTAACCCTGCTTTTACAAGCCTCTTTTTTCTAAGTTCTAATTAATAAACAATGGGCTACAATATCTTTAATTAAATAAAGCTGCCAAGAAGTCTTTATTTTTGTTGTGTTAAACAACTACTATAAAACAACTTATTGCCGAAAATTTTAAGTTGTGTTCCCCTAATATCAGCACCATTAAAGTTATCAATTTGGGATTTTCAATTTTAAGCGTTAATTTACCACATATACGACAGTGATGGACATGTCAAGAAAATCTACATAGAAAGGCTAATAAATATGATTGTCTAAGAAATACATATACCTACTGAATTATTTTGAATTTCCCAAACGGATATGCTAGGTCCACTAATTTACACTGGGGCAGTGTGGCAGAATAATTCTGTTCCGTAACATATCTAAGAAATTAGAATTTGTGCCTGTGAAATGTTGCTAAAAATAATTAAGATTAAACACGTGGTAAAATTAAAAGATGTAGTTGAAGTAAATTAAATACGCATTATTAAGGATAACTCAAAAACTACTGGTCAGATCTTAATTAAATTTATATGGGACCACATAAGAAGCACCAGCTTTCAAATAAAAAAGAATCATCAAAATCGGTTCTCCTAGAAAAAAGTTCTAAGGTAACACACATAAAAAATACAGTCGAATTGAGAACCTCCTTTTTTGAATTCCGTTGAAAGTAATTAAATACTTTACAGGTGGCGGAAAAAGTGAAACATTTCTTCCGTTGTTACGCTATAAATCGTCATAAGATGACGGTGCTAACGCCGTCATATCACGCGGAGACTTACAGCCCGGACGACAACCGCTTTGACCATCGCCCTTTCCTGTACAGAGTGCATTGGAACTGGCAGTTTAAGGCCATCGACGACGCTGTAAGTTTACACCAAAATAAGTTTACACCAAAACTATAACTTTAAAAAATCATTTCTTTTAAAGGAATCATCTTTGCCATCGTTAGCCTAAAACAGTCCGTAGCTGGACATTGATCTCTCTCATAGTAGAAAGGATTAAGAACTTTGATTTCAAAATATTCTACTACGAGTATCCTAACTATTATATTCTGATTTCTGAATAGTAAAATGGCTTTAATAGAATATAATAAAATATAATCATTTATATTCAATATTGATTACATGTAATTCCTATTGAAAGTCCTTTTTAACTTTTACATCTGGTTCGGAAAAAACCTCATATCCCGGGAAGAACTAGCAAGAAGCCCAGCGGGACTCTTGCTGGTTCTTCCCAGCCACTCTACGTGTTCTAATATGATAAAGGAACAATTGCGAAAGAAGTGTTTCAAAGGACAGTGGTGAACTCTCAAACAATTTTTGTTGACAATTTTTTTTTACTGCTGCAGGAAGTCAGGAAATTAAAATGTAAAATATAATGTTGCTATATACGCTGTTATGGTATCCGCGCAGCTCGATGGACCTTCAGACGAGAAGCAGACCTGCCACCAAGGATAAGATGCAAAGAAATGCCGCATCTCATCTCAATTTGCTGACTTGTATTGCCACACTCGCCGCACACCGTGGAAGTCGTAGTTATGTAGGGTATATATATAACGACACAGATTTCAGCAGACAGTGGTCAGAAGTTCCCAAGGGTGAAATAACCTGAACATTGTACCTGTTTGAATCAGTCGTCAGGAGAAGGTCGAGGCAGTTGGCTGTGTGCCCATTCACATCAGGTACCCTAGTCACTTTTTGTACCAGGTGGGAGAGTCCTTGCGACAAGGCAAAATTCCACTCCTCTCTCCCAGCGTGGTCGGTCTTCTGGTATGGGAACAGCCAGTCCTGATGACAGGCATTAAAGTCCCCCAGAAAAACAAACTGTGCATTAGGTTACCGATTTAGAGCCACATCAAAGGCCTCACTGAGGTGTTCAAATAGCCTAGTTGTCCCATGGTCACCGCTGTGCGATCAGATACGTTTGTACCTGGTAGAGCCATGCTGCAAGCTATATTAGGTAGCACGAATGGGTCGACTCGACCGGGGAAGGATCGCGCTCTCACAGAATACCAGCGTAAAATAGCAGCTTATTATTATTGCTGTATTTCGATGGTGAGTGTAGAGAACCGGATACCCTTTTTACTGGAAAAGAGGCATTCCATCTTAGTCCTCACGGGTGACAACGCATCTGCATCTAGAGTCTTTATTGTGGATAGATGTAGATGTCTATGGGCTACAGCAACCACTTGCCATCAGGTGGACTGTGTGCTCGTTTGTCACTCGATCCTATAAAAAAAAAGATACTTGTGGGGAGTCAAGATTCAAGTATATTCTACGGACACGAGCAGCTTCATCCCCCAAATATGTATAGTTTAGTAGTGATTATATTTGAAATTCCAAAATAACAATACTATGATTTAATTATCAATGGGAAACTTATATTTTTATATTTGAGGGTGGGTACTAGTATTTCATGGTATAGTTAAAGAATTTCTTAGTCATTTACCCATGTTTAAGAAAAATCCCAGATATTCAAGCTTTTGCTTTAACGAATTCGTTTGCATGTAATTCTAGATAAAAAAGGTTTGCAAAAATTGTTTTGGTATGGACGAAAAATTATCCAAAAATTACTGAATTCTATCTGCTCTGCCCATATAAGTGTGGCTGATTGTAACATGTATATGAACATTCATAATTATAATTTAAACGTGATTATTATTTTTAAATTTTTACAGGTAGCTCAAATGACAAAGGATAAAAGGGCACAAAGCGTGGACCGCTCTCAAATTAACCATGATCCCATGGGTAGCAATAATTCTATAGCTTCGACTCTTTCTTCGCCCTTCAATATGCGTAGAGATCGAAAGGGTGTTCTTATTTAATAATTATATAAGCTTATAAGTATAAAATTTTGCGAACAAATGTTTTACATCGATATTCTATAATAACTTGTATTTTACAGAATACGGATAAAATATTTTCACGTAAATCGTTTTTTTACTAGTTTATTGTAGACGTATGCAATAACTATAGAGAGAGTTATTAATATTAATTGTTTAATCTAATCCACATGCGTAATCCGATGAACAAACGTCAAATACTCATTTGATTCCATTTTATGATATGATGTGTGGCCTTCTTTGTTTCAGTTTGGTTACAGGGTTCCATAGGCTGCAATAGCCACTTACCTATTAGGTGGACTATCAACACATTAGTTACTCTAATTCATTCATTTCTTCATTAGATCCCCCTATCTTTCGCAGTAGCCTATCATTAGCCTACTGCGGAAGATAGGCCTCCCCCAGAGATTGTGTTATAGAGAACTATTTATATAATTAATTATTAGATTTTTTATTTATTTTAGAATTTATATAACGAATTATTAGATAATGCTGCTTATGTAAATGGTGCAATGACCCGGATCTGGCATTGTCATTTACTGTGTTCATTATACAACAACATTATACAACCATAATTCAATAATGATTTAATTTTTACAAAATTTTAAAATTTTTGTTGCTATGTTAAACGTTACGTTCTATGGATGTGACGGGACTTCGTATGTGGAATAGACTGTAAATGGTTGAATCACAAACGAAAACAATCATCAATCAATAATTTAATTAATGGTTTAAAGTCAATATACGTATATATGGTGCGACTTTGTGTATTATATGTCTACGCATCTGACAAAGAGTGGCGCACATTTTTTGTATTTAAAATAGCTGTTCTAGTACGTAAGTATATTATACTTCAATGGAATTGAGTGTATTAATCATGTTTTTTCAAATGTATTATAACTTTATAACAAATAAATCATACCCTAACTTTCATTATTAATTCTATACCTACAGGGTTATTTTTCAAAGAGTAGCCAAATGTAAGTTTTAATATATAAATAATGATGTACCGTTATTGCAGTTTTTGAAAATAGGGGTAAATAAGGCTTCTTATTTTATTTAAAATTATCCTAAATGAATGTCATTCATGGGTAAGATCGTGTATGCCTGAGTGATCGACCCTTACGAATGTATGCGTGCGCAGTATAATCCGTTAAAAAATAATGCAACGTTACGCATTTGGAATTTAAAAAATAAAAAGGACTTTATTATTGAGATTTTTTTTTAATTAGTTTTTTTCACCATATTATTAATTTTGAAACTTCTCTGCAAATTGGGCGTTATTGCAAAATAACCCTGTATATTTCAGACTTCAATATGTAATTTTTTGTAGTAAGTTTTGTTGTTATCATAAATACTCGTACATTGTTATAAATTAATACCATGGACGTATAAATAAAGGCGGACTGTATTTTGCTAAGAAATTGCTAATGTACTGCAATGGCGGCGCGGCGATGCAATTATGTTTGAGCGGAAAAAAAGGATGCACAAAACAAACAAAATTTCTCCATTTTATTTAATAACTCACTATCAAATATAGCATAATTTTAACTCAGAATACTAATTCTTACTACGTAACTAATATGAATAACACTGTTGAAGATGAAAAAAATCTAACGGTGCGTACACATTATATAACATAACATGTTATATAACATGTTTCAGTAATGTGGAGGCTGAATGTTTTTAAACGTGTTATATAACGTGACACAAATGTTATATAACTCGAACGGCAGAACGACAAACTACAATGTCATACGACATTGTCATATTACATTCTTATATTGCATTGTTACAGTATTGTTATATGTTGCAATGTTGAAACACAATATTACATATGTTACATACAATGTAGACGTGTTATAAAACAAAAGTTATACAACATATTACTTGATCTGTACGCTGTATCTGTACCCTAAGAATTTAGTTTGTTACTCGCTTACAATCTAATAATACCGCTTTTGATCGCTTGGATGGATAGATACGTACAATAAAAACGTATTGATTTAATTTAATTTTATTACAAACAATATCATACAAATATTGATCAGTATTGTTATTGGCACGAAATGAACTATTAATAGGTAGCTAACCAACTATGTCGAATTTAACTAACTTCTTGATTATTTTCGTATGGATTTGAAACTTTCCAAACGTAATGCTGATGACTGTACAATAATTTGATTCCATCGAGATTCCAATACATGATCTGATGATGGAACCAGAATGTTGATAGTGGATCGGTCCGGTAGTTTTTCAGGAAAATTATAACATAAAAGTGCATAAACAAACAAACAACTTCTTAGAGCAAACACATATACCGTCTTCATTCCAACGTTGATAAAAATAGCAATTTCCCGTAATTTCGGGTAATTTTCCTTATAAATAATTAACATTGTCACGTTACTCATGTGTCCGAAAAATAGCAATTCTATTTGTGACAAAAAATCGTAAATAAGTGATTATAATTACTGACCTATCTATGGAATCCTATATTCCTAGATTCCTTGATGTTTTTTCATAAAACCACTATAATTCAAGCCAAATTTAACGACGCAAGACGGCATATTTTCTTTTTGTTTTGACTTATGACTTATGAAAAGTACTCCTCGCGGACGACGTTTGTTGCGGCCGCTTGGCTTATTACCAGTGTGAATGTGTGCGTGAACGCTTGTACGTACAAGCGAGCCGGCTTATTTGGGTGCTTCACTGGGTTGTATAGCGAGATTCTGTCCGCCTTTTTTATACGTTCAATTTTAATACGCATAAAAACAAAATAGTAAGCTACAAATTAATGTCTTTTTGCTTTGCTGATTTCGTTCCCGTGTTGTTTTTGTTGAGCACACATCGAACCTATTTTAAAAAGTACAAATAAATGTTTTTTATTTTTTGGTTTTGATAATTCCTATAGGTTAAGGGGATCATTTTACTGTATAATTCCAAAGTTTTAGAAAACCAAATTATTGTGAGGATTAATAAATTAAGATGCTTAAAAAGTTGTTATATTTCATTTAGTAACGGTATTTCGTAATTCAAAATTATTATTAAAGGTTCAGAAATTAGTTTTATAGGATACCCATTGAGACGGTGTCTCTTTTGTTATTGATTATTGTTGACAGTTGCCTCTGGTTTCTTTTAAAAACTGGTAAAATCTTTCGCCTTTTACTATTGGCGGCTGTACAATCTCCCACGACTGCGCTCGCTAGGTCTCGCGCGAGGAGCCTCGTTCGAGGGGCTTGGAGTGAGCGACCATGTACCTACTCATAGATCAGTAATTGTGGTCGTAAAATCCGAGGCAATGGTCGACTATACAGAAGCCGCTGCTGCTGTTGCTCTGTGTACCATCAGTTAATATAATTATTTCCATGCTTATTGTACAAAAATGGTGGTGGGGTCGAAACAGGTGATTATGATGCATAGAATGTAATATACTATACTAGGATCCCATAATCTATGAATGATTTTTGAAATTCAGCTCATTCCCGGAGCTCGAGCTAGACAGCATGTACAGGAGCGCACTTGCAGTCGTTGCGGGACCCTTTGACTCGGTACGAAAAACGGGCGAGTTACGCCGAGTGCTAACGCGTAGAGAGCGCTTCCGTCTATACTCTCATCTTTGGCCTGTCTCCGTGATTTGCGTGGGGAAAACGTGATTCACGTGGTTGCCATGACGTCTTTAGATTTTCTTCGAGGGGAATACTCAAATAATTCTAAATCAAGTCAACTTTAGCCACTGTTTAGTAAAATATTGTAGGTAATAGATATATTAATGGATGTCTGCAACTGCTTTGATTAGGTGGATATTCGACACTATCATATTGTTTTTTTTGTATTGAAAATGGCATTATTATCATGATCATTACAGTACATCATAATTCCACTGCTGTATATAGATATCAAGGAATGACATAAAGTACGGCCCTGGGCCATCTTCATTCATCGACTTTCTGCATCTTACCAGGTCGTCTCTTCATCTTGTTGAGGCTCGCCATACACTTTGAATCTTTCTTCCACATCGGTTGTCAGTTCTTCGAGCTCGTTGGGCTGTATTAGTTACTATGGGGCGGAATTTTCTTTACGAAACCGAAGTAGGTCGCAGAGCGATCTTGACCTTGACCTCATATGACCAGTAGTGAAAAACAAAGCTACTGGATTGGAAAGGATAAGGTATTAACATTAATGGCGAGTACATTGCGCCATAATGTCTCCCAACAAATAGGTTTTGTAATGAACGTAGACAAGTCAAAAGTCACGTGTGTGAAACAAATGCTCCGTAAAAATACGACTGAAAAAGTAAGATATATACAAACCGACATAATGTTCTGGTAACTGGAATATCTCTAAGATATCCACTGACCAACATTCAAATGATGCCGAAATCGTGCTCAACTTCTTGACACACCCACATTTTTTTTATCAGTCCAAACATTTCACAACTATATTGTTGGAGGTGAATGGGTGATTGTGGATGTCGAAATAAACTAACATCTTTTAGAAAGCCCTAAAATATTTATAGAGTTTTTTTCCATATAAAGTGAAGATTCGGAAGCAGCGGAGCTAAAAAAAATAATGGAAAAATTGGGCACAAATGGAAAATGCAGAATTGAATGAGTCAGCCAAATATAGAAACAAACTGACGAACAAAACAAGAAGAACGAAGCCAAAAACTCTGACATTATAATACTCTCTAAATGTTTAATCTAAAAAACCGAAATAAAGTTCTATTTCTACAAAATATCGAGAAAATACGAAAGGCTTAGATTAATGATAGATCTTCGCGCACTCAGACTAGATACCGCCGGCGCTCTTGTAAAATGCGGCAACAAATACCACGCCGAAATCGGCGTACCCGAGCCAGTCGCGTTGCTGGCGATTTGTGATGTGGATGTACCGAATATTTTATTAAATTTTGATCATAATCCGAAGTAAAATACCAGTTTGCGTAGTGAAACTGTGTAAAAATAATACTACAAGAAATAAGA